AAAAAGCTATCAATAGTTAATACTTTAACAACGGTGACATCAGTCTTACAGCACAGAGTGCTGTGGTTCCTCACAGTGGTGATGCAATGGCATATAAAGCGTTAACTATTGAAAATTTGACTGAACATAGGTTTAGGTTTATTTGTCATATGCAGATCAGCACAAGGTCAACAATGCAATGAAATGCTCAGAATGAGAAGAACCCTCTCGACTCGCCAAAAAATAAGAAATACCAAAGCATGCAACAAAAATACAAAAACAAGATGCCAAAAGTGAAAAAGAAAAACATCTGCAGCAACATGGGCCTATTAGCAGAGAGGTACTGTTAGCAGTGAAGTTAGCATAGTCCTATTAACGTCACTTAAAAATGACCAGCCCATCCTTTTTTAAAGACAGATATGGTTCATTTGCTGCACATTATTTGGGGTTTTATAGGTCTGGGATTTCTTTTGTTTTGCACTCGTCCACATTCTTCTTCTTTTTTTTTTCTTTTTTTTTTTCTTTGTGCACTGCACATCTGCTGTCATGGTCTGGTACAAGAAACATGCAGAAAATGAGTGAAAATAGAGACTAAGTAAAAAATATATATATATATATTGCTCAAAACCACATTTTAAGATGAAAAGAAATCCTGGATATTTTAACAAATTATATTATTATAACTGGAGGGGGTTGGAGCGTTTGCGCAATACTGAAATTTGAATTTATTTTATTAAACAAATAGACAAAATTCAGGCTGAGGATGCCACATTCTGCTTTTCTTTTTCTTCATCACATTCTCCCATTAGCAAGTTCTATTATTAGTCTTAGTTGTGCACGCTGCGCCTTTCAAATACCAAAACATTTTAAATAACATGCTTCTACGTCTCCTTTCTATCCAACAAGTCACCCAAATTAAGTAATAAAGTACCGTGCACCATTAGTTCATGCCCTCCACAAGAATAAAAAAACAGAACATTTTCTGATCTAATGTCTCCATTGAAACCGTGACATCGGTAAATTAAAATTACTGCTTTGTAGAGGCGTGAGGGCACTTGTTGTCATGGATACAGCAATAACCGTGTGGCTGGGGTCAAAGAAGAACTGTGATCATGGATAAGAAAAAATCCATTTAAACAGTCTCTGGTCTGCTGCGTTAAAGTCTGTTGTTTTGTTGATCCATTCACCCCAATCTGTTGTCAGCAGACGCTGCGGCGCCAGCTGACCTCCTCCTTTGGGTGCAGTTGGACGAGGCGGGTTGTCAGAGGGCTCGATGAACAGTCTTGACTGGGTGTGTTGACGTCTTATGTCAAAGGCACCCCTCCTAAATGGAAGTGATCTTTAACAATAAAGATGATTACGAAGAAGCGCCAGTCTTGGCCACCGCCCTGATAAATAACGTGTCTGTAGGAAGTGAATGTTAGGAGCAGCTTTGTGGTTAGAAAACGAACACAAGAAGAAGAAAAAGGAAAAACGGGTTGAAATTTAGAGGATAAGCTAGAAGCATAAGATTAGAAATGAATGTAAACATTTTTGAAGGAGTAAAATTTGTGAAGATAAAACAAAACTAGAGAAAATCTATAATCATGCCAGCAGTGATTAGTTGCTTTGGAATGACGATTTATTTCATTTATTAGATTACTGTGTTGATACAGTGACTTATGAGTCTGCACTGGGAATACAAGTGGATTACAGCAGATTTAATTTGGATTTTTAACGAATGAACTGAACACATAAAACCAGGTGTCATGATGGTGAAAATAGAGAAAGAACGAAAACAAAGCTGCTGTTGCTGCTGACTCACAGATGAGGAAGATTACTGTATTTTGTGGCGTATAAGTCGCATTAGTCAAAAAGAACAGAAAAAAAAAAACATATATAAGTCACTTTGGCGTATAAGTCGCTTTTATTATGCTCCACCACTGACCCGTCGTGTTTATTATCCATTTATTTAATGGTCAAAACGGCTTCATTTCACCTGGGTGGTGCAACTCCATCCATCTATCACGGTTGGAGCCGCTAGCTCTCCAGCGTTCCTCCACCTGCACCAGCTGAGTGAAGCGAGCAGGTACGGGAGGACTTGCTGTTGCAGTTCTTAGAAATTTAAAGTGTCACTCAAAAATTGCGTTTTGAATATGAAAAAAAAAATGTATATAAATTGTTTCAGCGTATAAGTCGCAGGACTGACAAATCTATGCAAACAAACTGCGATTTATATGCCGGAAAATACGGTAATTGGAATGTTGTTTTGTTTGTTTGGGTTTTTTATTTTTTTTGGGGGGGGGGGGGGCAGTTTTGGCAACAACTCAATTTAAAAATAGGTTAAAGGTCATCAAAAATGTGTTTTATTTAAAGCAGTGCTATTCAACTAAATTGTTCAGGGGGGTACATTTACTGAAAGCCAAAAGCTCATGTGTCAGACATGCAGCAGTTATTGTCATTAAGTAAGTTGGTTTTATGTTGAAAATCTAGTTTTATTTAAAAATTAACCCCTTTGGTGGACCGAACTCACCCGTGGGCCTGATTTGGCCCCCGGGCCACCAGTTGAATAGCCCTGATTTAAATTTTGTTTGGTTTTTAAAAACACTTTCTGAAAACACTACATAGACCCCCTTAACTGCACATTTTAATCAAGAAATGTTTGTTTTATCCTCTTAAACACTAACTTGAACTTTTAATGAGCATATTACTCTAGTATTTGGAAAAGGGGAGAACAAAAGATTAAAAAAAAAAAAAATTAAAACCTTGTTTAACAGTATATTTAAAGAAAATGTAAAATATTTGTATTGGCTTATATTCAGCCAACTGATGTTTTGTGGAAGCTGAAATCGAAAGAAGTGAAGGATTGTGAAGGATTATGTGAGGAAAGGAAAGCCATGCCATAGAACACCACAAGAAGTTGTGTCTTCCAAACACTGAAATTAGTAAAACAGTTGCTAAAACATACAATTAGCAAAGCTGTAAGTAAAAGATAATATTAGCAAAGGTATAACTAAAAGGTACATTTACCAAAACAGTTGTTAAATGCATTAAAACTGTAACTAAACATTGAAATTAGCAGAATTGTTGTTAAATGATTTATTCAAAAAACATAACTAAAAGCTGAAATGAGCAACAACATAGCTAAATGTGATCTTTAGCAAAATTGTAGCTATAAGCTAAAAGGAGCATGACATAACAAAAACAGAGCAGATTTTATAGAACGTCTCAATGAATTAGAGTTTGTAAATGTTACAATACCACAGAATATGCACAAGTAGTTTGACTGTGAAAACATACGGAAGAAACTACAAACAAACAATATAATTACTGGATTCATGACATTTACAAAGAATCCAAGCACATAAACTAAAACATATAATGCAGGGGTCTGAAAAATGTTGTGACCGTGACCTGCCTGGTCTATGTTGTATTAAAACAGACAAAGTTATGGTAGAAATTCATGCAAGATCATTATAACATCACATAAATCCTTCTGCATTCATCATTTTAATAAGCGACATATGAAGGGGGGAAAAAAATTACCCAAACCTTTTTTTCAGAGGAAACTTTGCTCATTTCAGCAAAACAATATCAAACCAAAGTTTGCGCACTAGATGTCAAATAGTTCCATAACAACAAAAATCAAAGCACAAATCCAGTTTGAGCTCTTTCAGTAGCTGCCTCATTAACTGTTGAACCCACAGGGAATCTGGTCTCACTTATTTGCAGGGTGACTGTGTAAATAACAAGGTTTATTTTTAAGTTTCAATGTAATGTCTTCCATGAAGACATGGTGTCCAACATTTGAGTTTGCATCTGTGCAGCTCAGAAAGAAAAATCATTGTTGATGATAAATATATTATATTGTGGAAGTGCGGCATGTAGAAAACATCCTGCACGACAGCAATTTAGACAAGACGTAACAAGGCGGAAAGCTAACTGGAAACCTGGACATGACTGCTCTTTTCACTTTAACACTGACGCTGGGTTTTCTGCTGGTTGGTCTGCAGAGGATTGGAGCTTGGCTTCTGTTTGGTAGATGTTTCCCCTGCAACAGTTTCCTGCCCGGCTGGGGATTTCAGCGCCGGCCCAAGGAAACTGAAGCCTGGCAGGTTACATAGAAAGGTTTGCTGACTATACTCTCTCAGAAACAGAAGAATGAGCATGGCTGCGGTTCGTGAAGCTGACATTACAGACCAAACTGTTGCTGTTCTATTCCGTTCTGAATCGGTGCACACTGCACACATGCAAGCATGAAGGGAATTTTTATGTGGGAGAGGATAGAAGTGACACAGAGGGGAAACAGAAATTTAGCACCCCCTGCTGTTAGGACTTAAGATTTGTGCTTTTTACTTCATGGTTAAAGTGATGTAGATATTTATGGATGGTTATTTATAAAATGCATAAGAGTACAAGCCTAAAACTAAGAGCTTGGAAAACACATTTTAATAGGTTTTTATATTGTTTGTTGGCGGAATAGTTAAAACTGCAAATGGAGGACAGTAGCTGAACTGTTTCAACAACTTAAAGATAAAAAAAACTTCTGACCATTTAGGTTCAAACAAAAGCAAATTTGGTGCAAAATTAAAAAAAAGAAAAGGAAGATTTCAGAGACTGATGGGGGCGTTTTAATCCTCATTAAATGTCCCCCAAATGTATAGACGGTACAAATTTATTGAAATATTTTTTATTTGTCACAATTTTACATTTTCTTCTACCTTTGACCTAAACTATGCCTTTACGCTGAAAAACACAAACTACATCCGGAATAACGGTTTTGCTGTCAAAGTAAAAGCACAAGTATTTAATCAAAGCAGCTCTAGTGGCACTTTAAGGGTTAGTGCTGTAAAATAAAATAGTTTTAAGTTATTTACAATCACAATTTAGTATTTTATATAAATACGAATACATAAATATGCAATATTTGAGGTATCTGCGTTTTGTACTGAAAGTTGCTCACCGGAAAAAGATTAATTTACGTAATCCCGGATGTGTGTTCCCAGGAACCCGGTAAGATTCAGGAAGAAACGAACACAACATGCCGGTTATTGTAAAGGTGAACGACAGTTGTCGTACGCTGTAGATGTCAGAACCAACCGGTACCGGTTCGTTCAGCCTTATCCGTCCTTGTTGAGGTACCGTCATCTTAATAACGTGTCATGTGGGTTTTCGGTTACGGCTCCCTGATCTGGAAAGTGGACTTTCCGTACGACGAGAAAAGAATCGGTTACATAAAAGGCTTCAGCCGTCGGTTCTGGCAGGGCAGCACCGACCACCGGGGAGTACCGGGGAAGGTGAGTGCACCCGATCCTCGAAGTTGATCGTTTATTGGGCTCCTCGGTGTTCCTGGTGTCGGAACAAGTTTACGTTCCCGTCAGGCGAAATGTCCTGTTCCTGTGACCGACTCTTTATTTCACAAAACAAACCTGTCGAGCACGCGCTTTTGCTCATTCACGATGACGGCGCACATGTTGCGGGAGCGCGCACCGGGTCGGTCCCTGTGCTCTAGCAACATTTAGAGAAAAGCTAAAATGAGCTGGAGTACATAAGCCGCAATTAGCAGGATAGTAGCTAAAAGCTATTAGCTGGATAGTCAAAATCTAAAACCAGCAGAACAGTGGCTAAACATCAACATTTACAAAACAAGTAGCTAAAATTAAGAAAAATAGCTAAAAGCCAAAAACTGAATACTAAATCTGTATGGAAAAGCTGAAACTAGTAGTCAAAATTTAAAATTAGTGGAATGTAATTTAAATCTAAATTTAGCAGAATAGTAGCTAAAAGTTACAATTTGCAGAATATCCAAAAGATAAAACCACCAAAACAATAACTAAATCTCATAATTGCAGAAAAGTAGCTAAAAGCTCAAATGAACAGAATCTAGCTAAAAGATGTATTATCAGAACAGCAGCTAAAAACTAATATTAGTAGCTAACATCTTAATTTAGCAGAATAGTTGGTAAAGGTCTAAACAACCAAAGAAGTAGACAAAAGTGAATAAATAGAAGGTATAATTATCAAAACCGTAGCTTAAAACTATTACGTGGTATCTCAAAGCTAAAACTAGCAAAAAGCTAGAAATGTAGCAAGTATGCTGAGGGTTTCAAAGAGCAGAGTTTTTCAAAGATCTGAAGCAATCTCAGTTGGTTTCTATTTTTTTAAAAAGGATATCAGTAAATTTAAATCATTCAAAAGAGTACAAAGGTCAAACATAACCTTTTAATATCCTGTATGAGCTGAATACTTCAGCGTAAATTCAGCTGTTTCAGCCATTCAAGCATCAAAACAGTTAGTCCAAATAATGTGCACAAGAAACTATAAACAGGAAAACACGTGTGAATGCTGACTCGGCATTCGTACAGCTATCAAACAAAACATGCACGCAGTTCATGGGTAATTATAGAGGTGTGCATCGTCTGTACACGTTTATCCTGGAAAAACGACAAACCATTTGAATTATTAAGTTTAGTCTAACGGAGAAAAGCAAAGTGAAGTAGAGTTTGTGCTGATTAATTTATTGAAAGAACATTTTTTTAGTGTCTCAATGCTGCTTTTTTTTTTAACAGCCTGGTCGCGTCGTCACTCTGGTAGAAGATCCTGAGGTGAGTTAGAAACACTCGTAAACACGAGAAGGTGCTGCCGATGTTGACATTTATTGTGAAAGTTGTTTTATGACTTTATGGGGGGGATGGATCAAACTAGAGAAATTGCATTGCCTGTGAAAATGCAGTGTGAATGCTTATTGCAGAATAACTTTCTGAGAAACAGCTGAAATTAACTAAACATATGCTGAAATTTAGCTGAAATGGAAGAACAAACCTAAATTAGCAAAATAAAGCAGAAAGAACACAAATTTCCTGCGGGATCAATAAAGTTGTATCTTATGTTATCTTATTTGCTGAAACTGGTTTAAATATTCAGAATTTTGATGAAAAATTGGGAAAGTAGCTAAAGCATGGCTGAAAAGTTGCTGAAGAGCAGAAAGAAGCTTAAACTATTAGGATCAAACAGAAAGAGCTCAGATGAGCTAAAAAATGTGTAATTAGCTGAAAAAGCTAAACTTCACATTAAAACAGCTAAATAGTAGCTGAAATAGCTGAAACTAGCATAATTAAGCTGAAAGGAGCATAACGAGCTGAAATTAGCAGAAAGAAGTTAGTTCGTCTGAAAGTAGCAGAAATTACCATGAAAAACTTGAATTTATCTGAAAACATCTGAAATTGGCAAAAAAAAAAAACAGCTGAATAGTAGCTAAAAAAGCAAAAAGAAGCTTGAATTACCAGAAGTGGAGAGAGCACAATTCTGCCCAATTACGCTGAAAGAAGCAAAATGAGCACAACAAAGTGGAAATTATCTGAAAAAAGCGGAAATTACAAAAAAAAAGAAAAAAAAAAGCTGAATAGTAGCTAAAAATGCAGGAAGAAGCTTAAACTGGTATAAGGAAGTTGAGAGTGCACAGTTGTGTGCAGTTAGCATGAAAGAAGCAGAAATGAGCACAGAAAAGTGGAAATTATCTTGAAGAATTAAAAAAAAAAAAAACACCAGAGCAGTTTAATTTCCAATCAAAACAATAAATCAAATGTGTTGATTTTCAGTAAAAGAGCTGGACTTTTTCTTTAATGATTGATCTTCTGTGTAAAGTTCATCACGTGGGCCTCTTTTGAAGATGTTTGTTCCTCTGGCACCGTCTTCAGGGGTGCGTTTGGGGCGTTGCCTATAAGCTGCCATCAGGCCGTGAGCAGGAAGTGAAGGACTACCTCGACTACCGTGAAAAGGGCGGCTATCAGGTCATCACGGTGACCTTCTACCCCCGTCTGCAGTTCAACCACCCGCCGAGCTCGACCCTGCTCTACATCGGCTCTCAGGGCAACCCCAACTACCTCGGCCCCGCGCCCCTGGAGGAGATAGCCAACCAGATCCTGAACTCTACCGGCCCAAGCGGGAAGAACACGGAGTACCTGTTTCAGCTGGCTGACGCTGTGAGGACTATCGTGCCCGAGGACCCCGACACTCACCTGTTTTCTCTTGAAACTTTAGTGAGAGAGAGGCTCCGAAATGAATAAAAAAAAGATGGAAGCTAGAACAAAAAATAAGACTTGATCAGTTATTTAGGTTTAAATGTGGTTTTTGGGCTCTTATTTTTCTCCAGTCAGACATTTTATTTTAACCCCTGAAGGACATGATCTCCAGCGTCTCTGCTGTGAGTTGCGCAAGCTTCAATTATCATCGCGACACGTTGTGATGATGGATAACGTCGACGTTTCACCCCCATAAACATCAGCATGTCGAGATTGCCATGTTAGCGCAGTAATGTCAGTGCTCAGCTCGGGGCACCGCTGGGACAAATTACAGCCTCTCAGAGCTCGGAGTGAGGGTCTGCTTTTCTGGTGGTGGTTAACCTTGTGTGTGTTGTTCTTCACGTAAACAACCGGGTGCGATTTGTTTAAGAACGGTGATGCTTTGCTGTGAACCGAGCTGATTTTAAAGAGGAAACTCGTACCACGGGTTTAGAAACGTGCTCAAGTTATCTCCCCCTCACACACAAATACGTTCATCCTGAATTCTGCTCAGCCACTGTCTCTATCTGCACCTGCCGGGGCTTCGGCTATCAGCTTCGGCTATCAGCCTCAGCTCCTGCCGTCGCACGGTGAACACATCAAACTCTGCAGCGATACATCAGAAGAAAATCAATATGAAGAATAAATGAGCGATGGCTCAATCTGTGATCCTGTTGTCCTTAAACACACAGACAGTCGAAACCAGTTATCGGTGTGTTTTTTTTTGTTTTTTTTTGGCTTCTGTACAATTGCAGTTTTCTTTTTTGGAACGAGACTAAACTAAAGGAAAACGCTTAAATGTCTGAGATTTTTGCAGGATGCAGCCCAGAGCTGCAGAACTCTATTCCGGTGTCATTCTGTCTAAAATACATCTCCGTGTAAAAGATGATGCAAGGATTTTATAAAACAAGAAACGGTAAACTCGTATTCATAAGAAACCCATGTTGTAACAGAGTACAGCCAGTATTACACCATACCATATAACTTATTCCTGTCAAACTCGCAGTTTGCTTATAAAAACATTATATGTAGTATTCTAAATAATAAGTCTGGAGAACAACACCTAGAAACGGCTTCACATGTTTAGAAATATCAAATATGATTTTAAAGATGGTTCATGTGAGATTTTTCGGAAAGGTTATGACCTGTTGTAGATAGCTCTTTGAAAATTTAGCTTATTGAAGATGAATATTATTTGAGTTCGGCCGCACTGACAAGCTAACGGCTCATCAAGGCTAGGACAAAGTAAAAAAACAAAACGTGTCACGGCTCATGTAAGTGTTATGTTAGAAATCTCTTTTTATATTTCTAGTATAATCTTTTTTTTTTTTTTCTGCCAAAAGTACCCCAAGCTGCATTAGTTATACCGCTAGCTAGAGCCGTCATTTCTAACCAGAACCCGGCCCCGCCCGACCCAGATTATGGATTACCGAATAGGTAATTGGTCATATTAATGTAGGGGGTTGGTGTCGGGCTTTTGATTGCATCAGCGGACGTGCGGCTGACGATCCAATTATATGGCAACATGACTTGACTTGACCCGCTGCACTCAGCAGATGGGCGCGGCTGACGACCCAAGCAGGTGCGATCACAAAATATCCGACATGTCAGAGCAGGGTCCGTGTCTGAATAATGCAGAATGCAGGCAGAAGCAGGCATTTAATGCGATTTGACGGCTATGAAAGGATAAACACCCTCTCAGCCACGTGCATCCGCCGTCCGTTAATAAACATATAAGCAGTCAAAGCTTAACTAAAAATGTCTGGGGGTTTTTTTGTTGTTTTTTTTGGACCTGTACTTACTGTTAATTTGTCGGGACAGGTGGGGTTCAGAAATGATTGCTACAGGCTTGGTCGGATTTTTTGTGCCCGAATGCAACTCTACCACCAACAGCTAGTGCTATTTCAAATAACCCTGCTAATAAGCCTGCTTTAAGGCAATGGACCATTTGGACTAATTATTAACTCGTTGATTTTGTCAGATTCAAACTCCAAACTGAAGTCATATACAGAACTATCCACAACAGGTAAGACATTTATGGTTCATAATCTTACATAACCTAACTGCAAAGAAGCTGAGCTTTCGCTCTAAGTCCAACTATATTTGTGTGAGTGGACAGTACATTTCATAGACTATAGTGGAAAATAAGGCTGTGATAATGGGGAAATAAAAAGTGGGCAGAAAGGAACAACTAGTGTCTAAAAAAATGGCCATCTTAAAAATTAGCCACTTTGGGGGCTGCTACGGGGGAAAAAACACCAAATACTTGAAACCATTTTCCAATGAACTGCTGTCCTGAAATCCAACAGCTGGGTGTGAAGCTCCAAATTACCTGAGATCATCGAACCTGACTGCAGAGGGTTTGAGCTCCCAGCAGGGCTCAGAGGTGTAATTATTTACCTGTGGTCACTGTCAGCTCGTCTGCAGAGGCCTCCGAAGGCCGCTGCAGAAACAGGGCGACACCAGCAGCCGGCCGTCGGTGAAGAGTGCGCCTGAACTCGGACAGGATCTTCTTCCCTGTCATTTAGAAACAAAAACATCAAACAAATACGTTGAACTTACAACTCTACAAAACAAACTAATCGGCAAAATGCAAAAATTGTACCTTATGTGACGTTTATTTGCTCTATCACAACTGCAGTTGTAGAAATGTACGAACACTCGGATTGAAGGTCATAAGAATTGATTTACCGTATTTTTTAGGTTGAAATGACTATACAGCATAGAACATCAAGGATAATTAATAAAAAAACGAGAATTGGATGCAAATATATTGTAAATTTCGCAATTTCTGGGCCCTAATTATGTATACAGGCTCAAATTTATACATACGTCTACAAAGATTTGTGTGGATAATCTTAACCCTATGATTAAGTTAGAGAAAATCCTTAATAAACTTAATCTTATGCACTAATTGTTTTGTTTTTAAACATGACAAGTTGTGCATCGTCTAACCATTCCATGGAGAAAAAAAAAAAATCTGTTTGAGTCAATCGTTAAAATCCATAAATTATTATGACATTCATTCATAATGAAGTATGCAAACCTCTGACCACAGCTACACATTTACTGCTCTGTGTTTACACAGCAGCTGCTGATGAATCTTTTTCAGATCAGGGTTATTATCCATATCGTACCTTTTATAAATAAATCAACCGTGCAGAAGGAATGAATCAAACCAGCTACAAAAATAAAACAGCAAAGCTTAAAAATGTTCCAGTGATGAGAAATACAACACTCTGAGAAGAATGTGTTTACACTTAATATAATAAAAATAACATGCTGCATAAAACATGCAAAAAATAAGAAACCCCCTCCCAGAATGCAATCATTTACAATTCCGCAGAACATTAACTGGAAACAGTACAATGTCTAAACATTACACGCTGATCCATTTGTTGTTAAAAAAATATTTGTCTACAACATTTTTTGAACTGGTGGAATTGATTTACTTTCCCCAAAAACATCCAGCACTCCAACAAAATAATAATACATATTTTCTGTGAGTATTAAAATATACTAAACTAGAGAAATTACATTTCCTGCGAAAATGCAGTGAACGCTTATTGCAGAAGAACTTGCAGTCGGGAGAAACAGCTGAAATTGGCTAAAAATATGTTGAAATGTAGCTGAAATGGAAGAATAAGCCCAAATTAGCAGAAGAAAGCAGAAATGACACATATTTGCTGAAATAGGTTTAAATAAGCAGAACTTAGCAGAAAAATAAGGCAAGTCTTAAAAGAAGGCTGTAATTACCCCCCAGAAAACTGGCTGAAAAGTAGCTGAAAGGCAGAAAGAAGCTTAAACTACCAGAAAGGGCTGAAATGAACTAAAAAAAAAAAAAAGTGGAATTAGCAGGAAAAAGCTCAACTTAGCATAAAAACAGAAATGGCAGTAGTTGAAACTAGCATAATTAAGATGAAACGAGCACAACAAGCTGAAATTAGCAGAAAGGAGTTAATTAGACTGAAAGTAGCAGAAATTACCATGAAATACATGAATTTATCTGAAAACAGCTAAAACAAATGCCGAAAAGGTAGCTGAACAGGTAGAACATGTTTATATTAGTAGAAGAAAGCAGAAAGAAAAAGTTGAAAGTAGAGATATTAGCACAAAAAAAGTTGAAATTATCTGGAAAAAAAAAAGCTGAAATTAGCAAAAACCTGCTGAAAAGTAGCTAAAAATGTAGAAAGGAACATAAATTACCAGAAGGAAATGGAGAGAGCATATTTTTGCTGAATTAGGCAGAAAAAGTTGAAATGAGTGCAAAAAATATGGAATTAGCCAAAAAAGCTAAAATTTGCAAAAAAAACAGCTAAATAGTAGCTGAAATATCAGAAAAAGTTGAAACTTGCAGAAATAAGCTGAAATAAGCTTAACAAGCTGAAATTAGCAGAAAGAAGTTAGAAGAAGCACAAAAATGTTGTAGTTATAAAGAATCTGAAAGTACAAAACAGCTGAAAAAACCCAGCTAAAATTAGCTGAAAATTTATGAAAAAATAAGTTTAAATTTGCACAAAGAACAAAATGTGAAAGGAGCAGTAAAAGGTTGTAAACACATCTAAAGATCTGATGTAAAATGAGCTCAATTCATTTTCTATGAGGAAAAAAGTGTCAGAAAAGGCTAAATATTTCAAAAAGCTAAACTTGCACCAATACAAAAATTCATAGCACCCTTCTCCTGAACAACATTTTGTGATTTGTTGAAATAGCCCAAAAATTGTGGAAAGAGAAAGATGCCGACAAACTTACGGAAGAAAAATGTATGACAATAGTGTGGATGCTTCATAAACATTCTCACAATAAGAGAATTACCAGTGATTTAAAGTGAAGTCTGTTTTAAGCTACAGCTCTTCAGAGAAAGTCAAACAGATCGGGTTTCACAGAGGTGGAGGACAGAAAAGACTTTTATTCTCTCCGTCCATGTGTCTTTGTTGTGTTTTTATTTTCTTTTAGAAAGTGTTTTGCTGTTTTTAGCTTACAGCTAAAGTTTTGCTTCTTTTAGTTTGTATTTTG